TGGTTCTGAATGGGCTAAATATTCAAGTAGCGCCAGATTGCCTGACTACTTATTTACAAATTTATAGAGCACAAAAACTTGATCTACACATTGAAAAAATGACTATAGGGAATTTAGTTCACAGTTGAATAAAAAAAAAGGTCAATTCAACTTCTGAATGTTAATTTTATTTATGTTTGATCTCATCTGTACCAAAGAAATAACAAAATGACATATTGAGATCTCAACATCATTATCAAGCAATGTTATTTCTACCTATGAGCATACTGCTGTTGTGATCATATCTGAGTATGCTACTGCTGTCAGCATGCTGTTTTTTTGTTCATCTCTGAGATCATGTCATGTTCAATTTTTGTCATCCTCCATAGGATGTTGCTTCTGTGATCATATTTTAGATAACAAGATATTTTTGTTATCTACTAGGATCCTTGTGAATTTCTACCTATTATGGAGGAATTAATCCGGTCCATGCTTTCAAGCCAAACCCAAAGACCAATAGATTTCTTCTCTCACCGCCCAAAGAGCCTACACATGTTTTCCTAGCCTTGTAGAACTGTTAATTTGTCATATGCAACTCTCTAGAATGTATGAGCTATGAAGGCTGGATTTTTTTTATCAGAGGTGAGACCTTCCTTCTCATAGGTACATGTACTCTCTGAATGCCATTTTTTGCTGTGAAGATAACAACACATTTGGGGCTAATGCCAAAAAAGTTTCATGCAATGTCTTGTCGTGTTAGTAAAACAATGAACTTTTAGTGCTCAGTTAAGTGAAAATAGCTTTGACAAAACACAATAGCTAAGTACTTCAAATTTGATAGAATTAACTTTCGACTTAATGTGGCCCGTAGCGTTAGCACGGACAATATACTAAAGAGCTAAAACGAAATCGATGCTGTGATTCAGCCTCAAACCTCGCTCCCGTGATTTGAAAAGGAAGGATCGCTCCCGTGATTCATCTGCACGGCTACGCATCCACCACGCCCAATCGTCGCCCTCACCGCGCCGTCGCTGCACACGCCCACCTGGCTCTGCACCCGCTTCGCCGCCGTTGGCCTTACCACGCTGCCTTTGCCGTGCGATCTCATCCCCGCTCTCCTCCATTCCTCCCCACAGCACCCTTCCGCCGACCGCCCTCACCAACACCTGCGACCCCCACGTGACCAGGGAGCCGGACCGCCGCCACCGAGGACCGTCGCCACGCCGTCGCTCCCGGCTTCTGGTTCTCGCCGACCACCAGCATCCACGTCGGTGTCTGTATCTGCGTCCCTAATCCGGCTCGTCCGTATCTACGTCGCCAGATCTTCATCGGGCCCTTCACCAGCGACGAAGACCCGCGGCAACAGAAGACGGGAGGGCGCCCGCGCGTCCCTCACCTCGATCCGGCTCGTGTCTTTGTCGGTCCTGCTGTGCTACCAAATCCTCTACTCCTGCCGCACTTTCACCTCCCTCCCGTCCTGCGAGGAGCACCACCAGGTGTGCCAATCCCTTCTCTTCCCTTCCTATTGTGCGAAATCGAGCACTCAAACTCTACCTAACTTCGATCTAATTACATGTGTGTACATGTATTATGCCTGCTAACTTCGATCTCTTTCAAAAGGTTATCATGAGAATTCAAGTATTGTGTACATTTCTTTGCACTGCTTCTTAAGAGGATTGTTTTTGTTTATCGCTGGGCACAGGGTTCCTGGTTTACCTTTTCAGATATGTGATTCCTTTTAACGGCTAATTTTTGCTGTTTTTCTAAGGGATTAACCCGTAGCAAGTTGTGTCCTTCTGCTAAAGGCAATCTCTCAGCTTCAATTACTGCATGCTTAGTTGCTATATGAAACTATCCTGCCATGAAAATAATTGTATAGCTATTATCATTCACTTCATCACTTGATCAGAGTTGTAGGACAAAACATCTAAGCACTTGGGTTTATTGTATGAGATCAATGTTGCTGTTCAAGACATCACAAACATTTTAGTTTACCATTTTTGTTGTCTAAAATGGTTTTACTAGCAGACTTGCAGCGCATTAGCAACTTTGTCTATATTATTCTGTAGATTACCATACCCAGTCAGCCCAACTTAAAAATTGGTTTCTAAAACTGATTAGTACCTAATGCACTGAATGCAAAATAAGATTAACCTATATAATTTTTTAACAATTCACTATATTTGTCTAGAGCAAATCTACCTATGTAACAGTTCTTGCCGCTAAGTAACAGTTCCAAATTCAGTATACTGGTGCATTAGCTAAAAACATTTTTCTCATGCAGTTACTAAATCCATTCAGCCCTGCGACTAAATAACAGTTCCATGACCTGTCTATGGTTGATTGCCGCCGCCGAAGGTAGGTTGCAAGGGCAGCGGCTGCGGCGTGGCGAAAGGATGGACCGGCGGCTGCGCTGTCTTTTGTAGCGACGGCTACAAGATTAGGCATGAGTACTCCGAGTTCTATATATCGCTGATCGTGAATCTTGCCACAGACACTTAAGTGGATATCTTATTCTACAGTATATGTCTACGTGGAATAGACAAAAAGCCACATATATTTATACGGTGAGTATAACACTTGTTTTAAGTTTTTGTGAAAGACTTTTCAAGAGATGCAGTATTACACATGCGACAGGCACTAATATTGACATATATACTCGAGTCTGTGTACAGGATGGTATGGAGATGCGACGGAATTTATTCGTGGATTTATTGACGCACGAAAGAAATGGGTATCAGAGATTTCTTTCTGCCGATATAAAACATTATCTTAGGCGCATCACGGAAAGATCTATAAAGTAGAGTTTATAAGCCTGTGACGCCGCGCTCTCCGTAACTGTTAATTTCACAAACTTTGCTTTTTGGATTAACTGTAACTTTAACGTTGATATTTAATTTTTATAGTATTGTTATCTTGTCGTGCGATCAGTGTGTTTTTAGTATAAATTGTTAGCTATACCGTAGCAACGCATTGGCATGCTACCTAGTTAAAAAAAACTAAAGCTAGGCATGCTGCAATTGAGGTCTCAACGGGCTTGTGTGGCAGAGCTTCATTCCTTAGATTATCAGCTCTGGCTCCTTGATTCTTTGAGTAATTTTAGTTGATTTTGGGAGCACGTGAGAACTGATTTTGGAGTGAGTTTGATGGAGATTGAATAGGGAGTGATGAATAGCAGGCTTTTTTAGCTCGCAGATTCCAGTTTAAATAGATAAATGATTCTTGTCTGCTCTCGTATGTAGTTTTATCGTTTGGATGAGAATGAATGATTCTCAAAGAGAATCCGCTCTGAGGAGCTTTGCCAAATAGCCCCTATGGGGCCATGTTCAGGGATGACTCTGGCAAGGGTGGGAGGTATGATCGTTAGGGCCAAGGCCGCCAGGAGGCTATGAGCATATATGTATGTAGCAAATATATAAGAATGGTTCATTAGGATTGAAGTCTTTGGGACCGTTTGGAAGAGTTCCAGCTCTAACTTTTCCAAAGATAATCACTCATAACCAGCAACTTATAAAAAAACTCCTAACCAGCGGGTCTTTACGCGTAAGGGGGAATTTTTTTCCCAAGTGCCAAAAGATTGGGAGGTGAGTTTGAGAGTTATTAATGTATTTTTTCCATTCTTTCCAAAAATCATGGATTGGGATGGATTATTGGGTACTCTTGGTGATACTCTAAGCAAGTTATTAATAAGTTAATAATGAAACTAACTAATTAGTGGAGGGCAAATTAAACTTTTGCTGGACTCTGATCCTAAAATTGCTAGTGTGTACTCCCTCCGTATCGTAATTAGATGACGTTCTGGAGGCCAGGCCGTTTGCGGCAAAAGATGACGTTCACGGTAGCGAGGGCAACTTTGGACGCGTTTACCCCTAGCCAGGCACGTGCGCCGCCCGTTCGCATGGCCGCCCGTTCGCATGGTCTTCTCGTCATTAATCGCGGACTCCTCGACTAAAGAGATCGCCGCGGTCGCCCCCCGTCCACAGCACGCTCGCAGACCGCCCAGGCACGCGCGCCGCCCGTTCGCATCGCCGGCCGTCCACAGCAGCAAGACCGCCCACAGTACGCTCGCCTGTTCGGTTCGTTTCGTCGCTATGGAGACCGGCACCGCACGCGCGCCAGTGCCACGCAACGCTGCCAAACTCGCGAAACAACGAAAACGCGCAGCACGCGCGAACGGCCAAACACGAGCCCGCACAGCGCCATGCAAAGCCATGCAAAAATTGTGGCGACAACGAAAAAGGCTGCCAGCGGTCGAACCGTGGAGCTCATGCCTCGGGCCGTGGAGCCTTGGCCAACCGAGCTACGATGGATTACTGTACAGATAGCACCCTCAGGAGTATTTAATAAGGCCAAAACAGGAAAATTAACCCCTAATTAATCACCCCAATCGTACTCATGTCCTAAACGTCATCTAATTACGATACGGAGGGAGTACGAGGGAAGGGACACATATAGTGCTAAAGAAAAAAATGGTTCAACATTACCATGTTTATTCACTCCCAAATGGTAATGACGAGATCTACGTTTTGTTGTAGTATTATGACTAGATATGAATTTATTACATATTCTCTCTACTCATATTCGTCATGTCCCCTGTATGATTGTGGATTTGAAATGATATTATATATTGAACTATTTGTTGTGAAAACATAATGTTTTGGATTATTAGTATATATGAAAATGAAAATGGAGTATTTATAGTGTGTACATGCACAATTCTACCTACATATTATCTCCTTCCCAAAATAGTTCGCTTTAGTATGTCCTAAAATAGTACTGTAGAGAATTAGAGAGTAAATGGAAGAGAATGAAAATCACAGCAGATAACCAAATTCCAATCAAATCCGTATTTGCACGCCTCAAGCCCACTGCTCGCGCAAGAAAGTTTATGGGCCTCAACAGTCATTGCTCTCCTGTCTTCCTCTCCAACTCGATCCGCCGCCTCCTCCCACTCCAGTCCCGTCCCGTCGCACTTCCTCGATCTCCTCCACTCCACTTCAGCGCCACCGCCCACCCCCACAATGGCGTCTCCTCGCCGCCGCTCCTTCCCACTCCGCTTCCTCATCTTCATCCCTGTCCCTCTCTTCCTTGTCCTCCTCCTCTTCCACCGCTCCTCTCATCCTACCGCCCCGCTCCTCCACAGCGCCGGCTCTGGCTCCGGCCCCAGCCCCGATCCCCGCCGCTTCGCCCTCCTCATCAAGCTCCTCGCCTACGACCGGCCTGACGCGTTTCGCCGCTGCCTCCACTCCCTCGCCGCCGCTGACTACGACGGGGATCGCGTCGCGCTCCACGTCCTCCTGGACCACCGCCCGCCCAACTCGTCGTTGTCCCCCTCGCCGCGTCGCACGAGATCCTTGACTTCGTCGACGCGTTCCCGTGGCCGCACGGCGAGAAGAGCGTGCACTACCGCGCCGCCAACGCGGGGCTCCAGGCGCAGTGGATCGAGGCGTGGTGGCCCGGCTCCGACGACGAATTCGCCTTCGTCGTCGAGGACGACCTCCAGGTCTCGCCGCTCTACTACAAGTTCCTGAAGCGGGTGGTCATGAGGTACTACTACGACCGTGAGAACTACAGCCCCTACGTGTTCGGCGCGTCGCTGCAGCGCCCTCGGTTCGTCGCAGGTGAGAGCTTATTTAATAACACTGCACTGCGTCACGAATGCTTGTTTAGTCTCGACCCTTGGTTACGAAGAAAGGGCGCGGAATGCAAACTATTATTCGTAAATGGGACCTGGCGTGGTTAATTATCTGTTTTTTCTGTAATTCGTTGAGATGAAGCTGCTATTAAGCATCATAGCTAGTTCTTTTTGTTTGCCTTATCACATCTGTGATATGTGTCCTATTCATTGGGATTAGTTAGAAGATTGACTCTGTTTTGTGTTGTCATTGCCAGATTGAGGAGTTTGTGTGTTTATAGTGGAAGTAGATCTCTGTGCTTACAATTTATTAAGTTAATTATCATTTTTGCATAAGAGCTTCTGTCACTGGAACTTCGAACACAATCTGAAACGCAAATACACAATTAAGTATGGTAGGTTAAAATACGATGATACCATGCCATGGTGCTCTAGTCTAACCTCCGGTGTCATTTTGTGTCTCAGTTAAAATGATGGAGATTCACAACTTAAGAGTTTCTCGTGAGCAGGATCTATGCATTTGATTTCCTTGGGGCAAAGTTGTTTGACTTGTTTTGACTTTTGGTTGCCTGCAGCCTGAGTGTCATCATATTATATTACTATGATTGGTTAGTAAAGAGTGATCGTGGCTCATGGATGCATTTTTGCAGCTTTGCTGGTTATTGCCTTTTTTAAGATAATGGATAATGCGCTCTGTTTCTGCACTTCAATGTCCTGGAAGCCTTACTGACATGGTCTAAGACAAAAATTGGTCCTCATGGAAAATATTGTCTGCCTAGAATCTAGGAATGGCCACCTGGTTTCTTTAGTTAGATTGGTTCGGTTTATTCCTATGTTTAAGCTTCGGTTTCTGAGAAATGGCAACCGAAATAACCAAGCTGAATAGAAACTGAACCTCATTAACCAATGCTAGTTGGTTCAGCTAATTCAGTTTCTTGGTAAACCAATTGGCATCGCCTCAGCACTCAGCAGGGCGGCACAAACACAGCACTGCTACAGCTACTGACCTCATGAACTTTTCAATTTGATTCAAGGAAACAGTAAAGGTAAGGTAGTAAGGTACCTTCTTAGTGGAAGAAGTGCAGCTTGAATTAGCATAAGCACTTCCATCAAACTATTTTACATTTCACTAAGCATACATTATCTTGGCAAGAAAAAGAATCCAAGAGGCAATACTGGCGTTGAGTTTCCGAGCCCACATCTGTCTTCATTTCTTCTGCATTTTTGCCAGCGTGAAAGATTGGCAGTTTGCTTTCTTGGCATTGAGTAATTGGCTGGCTGCAGGCTGGTGGGTGGGTGGTGTTGTGAGTAAGGGGTGAAGGTGGCGGTGTGGACAGGGCGGAGCTGGGCAAACATAAGGTCGGGATCTTCTCCACGACAGGGATGTATTATTGGGATCAATGACTGCTGTATAGTGATTTCCCATTGCATTACAAGAAATCGTCGGGATCAGCTGGCCCTACTTAGTAGGTCTGGCTCTGCCCCTTGGTATGAAAGAGGAGCGAGGGTAGTGGCAGGTGGTGTGAGGTGGGACTGTGATAGGCAAGTCAGATATGGAAGATCTGCGGGATTTCTACAGTAGTGAGTCTATGGAGGATTCAGGTGTTCTTACTCAGCTCTGCCTTTTGCACCATATGTATTAATTGGACTGTTTGGGCACTTGGTTCATTCGAATACAATGTATGTTCAGAACTGATCAGCTTCTTCAGCCTATTTGGTTTCCAGCTGATGGAAACATAGACCTAACACCCAAAACTGAACAAACCACATTTCAAAACCGCACTTAGCAACAAAAATTGAGCAAACTAAGAAATTTAGGTACTTCCTCGACGTTTTTTATTTGGTTTTGGGTTGTCCATTCCCACTAGAAGCTGTGCTTTCATGTTTGCTACAATGTAAACCTTTATTTGGATTGAAAATTGCTGGTCTATGCGATTGCTTGAGAATGGTGTGAGTTGGTGAAATTAATGTTTGTTTTATGTTGTGTCATAATGCATTATAATAATGCATTTTTTTCCTTGAATGGCGCAGGAGAGCTGCATGTTATTTCATTAACTAAGAAGAAAAGGTATGGCATCTAAAACCACACCACATAAAGCACACATGAGAACACAACAACAACAAAACTTGCCACACAAATACAAAAAACATGAATAAAGGTTCTAAGTGTTCCTCTGTAATTGATATGATCCTTGGTAATAAACGAGTAAAGGTTGTAGCTACTGTTGGTACTTGTACAGGTTCATTAACCTCCTAGAGGTATGCTTCTCATGTTGGAAAATTGTTTAAGAAAATTGACCAGCGAAGAGAAATGATAGATAGACTTTTGGCGAATCTGGAAGAATGTTGCAACTTCAATATATATAGGCAAATTTTGCTGTGGGACATCGGACAAACGTGGTATTTGCCGGTGGACACTGCCAACTCGAAAATATGCCCAGTACTATCATGAAATCGCGTTTCTTTGCCACCAGACACCGCAGCAATTAAAATATTAATTTTCACAGTTTGGGATTGAGAAAGGGCAGTGAAAAGATCATATTGCCCCCGTGGTCATCTTCCTCCTCAGACTCCACCCCATGAGGTCCGTCCATGTCCTCCAATCGCCGGCGGGCAGGAATCGCTCTGGCCAACTCCAGCACCACCTGGTCCGCCGAGTTAGCCACCACCACATCTGAATCTTCCGCCGCCGCTGCATCTGACGGCTGTGCCCGTGCCTTCGCTGCCCCAGCAGTGCAGTCCGAGGCGGACCTCGCGCCACTCCAGTGCCTCCTGGCCGACATCGATGCCCAGGCCGCAACACCGGGCGCTAGCCTCCATCTGCCCCGTGCCCAGCAAGCGCTCCGTCCACCGGCGCCTACCTAGGCCGCGTGCCCGCGCCCACCATGGCCAACTCCGGCGAGGCCGCGGGGCCGCCCGCAACTGCCTAGGCCGCGACGCAAGCCGCGACCTCCGTCGGCCCCGCGCCCAGCCCATGCTCCGTCAGCCCGCGCTTGCCCAGGCCACGAGCCCGGTCCTGACACCGACCGCACCCACCATGGCCAGCTCCGGCGAGGCCACCCACACCTGCCCAGGCCGCGACGCCGGCCGTTCCACGCCCAACCTGCGCTCCGTCCGCCCGCCCGCCTAGGAAGTGAGCCCGGGGAGCTCGCGCCGCCGCCCGCACGAGGCCGGGGAGGCCTTGTCGCCACCCGCGCAAGGATGGAGAGGCCCGCACCGCCGCTCGTGTGAGGATGGAGAGGGTCGCGTCGGTTGCAAACGTTGTTCGTCGAAGAAGGACGACCAAATCGGCGGCGGCGGTGTGTTATAGCAAATAGCCGGTGAACAACTAGAGGTTGAAGACGAGGGCAGTTTAGACATTTGCCCTACCTTCTCTCTCCTCAAAACTGAAAAATGAATAAAATAATCAGCGCGGTGTCTCTCGGCAAAGAATCACAAATTTGTAATGTCCGCCAGCAAATTTCGACATTGGCGGTGTTCACTGGCCAATTTCCTGTTTCTCTAGTGTCCCACGGCAAAATTACCCATATATATATCATATATTCATGTCAAATCTGTAAATAGAGTGAAAGTTTAGCAACTGAATCTGCTGCTGACAAAATCTAAATTAAATATATATAAAATATTTGTTGTCTAATTCAATCTGATGCTAACATCTCACATAACATCATATTGAAGCATTATAACTTAGGTAGTGATCAAAATGCTGTAGCAGCAGCATTTCTGTCCTCCTTTAACATGTAACATTTATGTTACTTGTAGAAATCAATATGTAAATTTTGGTTGTGTTCAATTGTCACTATGGTTTTTTCCCCTTTTATTTGTATATACGGGATGAGCCATGCAGGCTGATAATGAAGATGTAATTAGCAAGTAACTTTTGCTCTAAGTAGAAGATAATTTACTGTGTTATATGGGTGGTGGTAATCTTGTATCAATTTAAACTGTTACATGTTCATTATGTATGATCTGTTTTTTGAATCATTATGCAGGTTGAGTATGTGGTGTTATGTTAGATGTCATGTTTAGTCTACCTCATAACAATGTTTTCAATCCCCATCAACTACTTTGGATACCATTTGGATAATGGCAGTTCAGTCTGTAACATTATAACATAATTCGTTTGTGGTCCAAAACTAAAACTAGACACATGAACAACCCCTGGGCAGACCATTGTACAGTTGAATTTAATAATGTACAGGACCAGGATTTGACTAAAACGTAGTCCCACAGTGCTCCCAGGTTCAGGGTTGATTAGCCCTGGTAAAATGGGGTGGATCGTGTCTAGTCAAACACTCCATTTGATGATATAGGTCCATGATAGCCCATGGTTTTATTTTACGCTAATATGGTGTACAACTGCCAAATATACAAAAGGTATTTTAAATTCTGCATATATCAGCGTTATTTAAGTATCTTGCTGATCTATGATCTAATTAGAGTCGTGCTATTCGGTGATAAGCCGTATTGAAGCTGATTTGTTGTGAGAGAAAAACAACATTCCATGGTCGATAAGTGCAAGCGAGGGCATATTTGCTTAGTCTCTATTTTGATAAGTTCAAGCGAGGGCATATTTGCTTAGTCACAACCATTAGTTTTGTTTGGTCATATTTGCTTAGTCTCTATTTTGAATGTTGGACAATTGGTGGTTAGGCCTTACAACCATGCAATACCATATAGTGAGGGCATAGAAAATTTTTTAGGTACTATACAATACAATCACTTGAACTCAGAGGGGAATTCGTGGCAGCTATTCTTTTTCTGGCATTAAATTGTATGCTTATCATTTTTATAATCAAATTTTGGTAACTCCAGTATAAATTTTCCTCTTGGTAGGTTTTGTTTTGTTTGTTTTTGCATTCTTTAAGGACAAACGAGCATGCTTGGATTGCAAGGTGATACCAGGGGAGTGTGTTGTTTCTCAACATAAGCTTTTGGTGGCGATTTTGCCAAAAGTGCGTGCCGTGAGGGATAAACAAGCTAAGATTGAAAGAACAAAGTGGTGGAAGCCCCAAAGGGGAGACGTCGAGGTATTTAGGGAAAGGGTTATCAAAGAGGGCTCTTGGAAGGAAGAAGACGACATAAACAATATGTGGGACAAGATGGCAATCAACATTCGGAAGGTAGCCTCAGAGGTGTGTAGAGTAACCAAAGGAAGGGGACGCGAGGCTAAAGACACTTGGTGGTGGAACGAGGAAGTCCAAAGGGCTATTAAGGAGAAGAAAGAATGCTATAGACGCTTGTACCATGACAGAGTGTGGACAACATAGAGAAGTACAAGGTGGCAAAGAAGAGGCGCAAAGCGAGTGTAAGTGTGGCAAAGGGTAGAGCGTCACGAGGATCTTTATCAACATTTGAGTACTGAAGGAAGGAGAGAAGGACATTTATAGGATGGCTAGGGTCGTGAGAGAAAGACACGGGACTTCAACCAAGTTAAGTGCATTAAGGATGAAAGGAGCATCTCTTGGTAAAGGAGGATGAGATCCGACATCGATGGCAAGAGTATTTTGACAAATTGTTCAATGGTGAGAATATGGACACAACCTTTCAGTTGGATGACTCTTTTGATGACACCAATAGGCGCTTTGTGCGGAGAATCCAAGAATCGAGGTCGAGAGGCGTTGAAAAGGATGAAAGGAGGTAAGGCGATGGGACCGGATGGTATCCCAATCGAGGTGTGGAGATGCCTCGGGGACATAGGTATGTAGTATGGTTGACCAAGTTGTTCAACCATATTTTTCGATCAAACAAGATGCACGATGAGTGGAGGAGAAGTATATTGGTACCGATCTACAAGAATAAAGGGATATTCAAAGTTGTACAAATTACAAGGGAATTAAGTTGATGAGCCATACTATGAAGCTATGGGAGAGAGTTATCGAGCATCGCTTGAGAGCAATAACGCTGGTCTCTATGAACCAATTTGGTTTCATGTCCGGAAGGTCAACCATGGAAGCCATTTTCTTAATAAGACAAGTTATGGAGCGGTATAGGGAGAAGAAGAAGGACCTACACATGGTTTTTATTGACTTGGAGAAGCTTATGATAAAATACCAAGGGATGTTATGTGGTGGGCTTTGGACAAACATAAAGTCCCAACGGCACGTCGGGCTCATTAAGGACATGTACAACAATGTTGTGACTAGAGTTGAACAAGTGATGGAGACACGGATGACTTCCCGATTAGGATAGGACTACATCAAGGGTCGACTTTGAGCCCTTATTTGTTTGCTTTAGTGATGGATGAGGTCACAAGGACATCCCTTGGTGTATGCTTTTCATGGACGATGTAGTGCTAGTTGATGAAAGCCGGACGAGAGTGAATCGTAAACTGGAGTTATGGCGGGAGACTTTGGAGTCCAAAGGTTTTAGACTTAGTAGAACTAAAAGCGAGTATATGAGATGTGACTTGGCACTACTACTCGGGAGGAGGAAGATGTTAGTTTGGAAGGTCAAGTAGTGCCTAGGATGGATACCTTTCGATATTTAGGATCAATGCTCTGAGAGGGATGGAGATATTGATGAAGATGTTAGCCATAGAATCAAAGTGGTGGATGAAGTGGCGGCAAGCGTCTGTGTCCTATGTGACAAAAGGGTACCCACAGAAGCTAAAAGGCAAGTTTTATAGGACGGCGATTAGACACTGCTATGTTGTATGGTGCGAGAATGTTGGCCTCACGAAAAGACGACATATTCAACGACTAAGTGTCGCGGAAATGCGTATGTTGCGTTGGATTTGCGGGCATACAAGAAGGGATCGAGTTGAACGATGATATACGTGAGAGATTAGGGGTAGCGCTAATTGAAAAAAAGCTTGTCCAACACCGGTTGAGATGGTTTGGACATGTGCAACGGAGACCTTCAGATGCACCGGTGCGTAGTGGAATCCTAAGTCAGGATAGTAACGTGAAGAGAGGCAGAGGAAGACCGAAGTTGACTTGGGTAGAGGCAATAAAAGGAGACTTGAAAGGATGGAATATACCCAAAGACTTAGCCTTAGATAGGAATGCTTGGAAGACAGCTATTCACGTGCCTGAACCTTGATTGTTTCTGTTGGGTTTCAACTCTAGCTTACCCCAACTTGTTTGGGACTTAAAGGCTTTGTTGTTGTTGTTGTTGTTGTTTTTGCATTCTTTGGTCTTTGAGACTATTTGTTTTTCTGTTTCCACTCCAAAGAAAGTGTTTGTTGGTGATTCTTACGGTATATACATTTTTTTAATGCAATTACAGTACATACACACTCCTTACTCCTAATATGATTACAGCAAGTGCTGGCAATTTTGCAATGCCTCTGTTAACCAGTTGATCTTGAACTACATAGGTAAACATGGAAACAAGATACAGCTGGATAGTGAGACTCGGCTTTTCTTGTATCAGATGGTAGGCACGTGGGGTCAACTTCTCTTTCCAAAACCATGGAAAGAATTTCGATTATGGTATGATGGCCACAAAGCCAAAGGACTCAAACCTATTCTCCAAGGCATGGTAAACTTTCTTTTTCTTACTTAATGTCTGTCTGCTTCTTCAGTTCGTGTGTTAATGGAATTTATGTACCTCATTTCTTATTTATAGCATTTTCTTCCTATGATGATATATGTTCATATTCTATCAATATTTGTTAGCTTTACTGATACTGTTATTTCACTCCTGACATTGCAGAAAACTACAGGATGGTACAAGAAGATGGGTGAGAGAATATGGACTCCTTGGTTCATTAAATTTGTCCACTCACGTGGATACTTCAATATCTACACAAACTTCCTGAAGGAAAGGGCCCTCAGCGTTTCTCATAGGGATGCAGGTGTGAACTATGGGAAAAGTGTTGGGCCAGATTCTACTTTGTTGGATGGGAAGAATCTTGATTTCAATTTATGGGAATTGCAGCCTCTAAAGAAGCTAAAGTGGTATGATTTCTGCTTCAATGAAGCTCTTCCAGGAAGAATTGTTAGAAAAAACAGTGAACTTGGTTCTGTGCTCAAATCCGTGCAATTAAAAAGTACTGTTGTTCTTGTAACTCTGTACTCAATAGAAGAGAGATTTGCAAGAAACTTGATTTGCCATCTTGACAAGGCAGGCATGAAGAACTCTATTTTCCTTGGTGACAACTCAGAGTTTCTGGATGACCTTGCTCATAGAGGATATCCTATCATTGATGGTATGAAATTTCTTCGGAGCATCAAATTGAGTAGTTTGCAGGGTTCTGATGATTTTGTTAAGGAAACATTGGTTAAATCTTATGTGATAAAAGCTTGCTTGGACCTGGGGTACAATCTATGGCTACTAAATGGAAATATGATTTCACTTGGCAATAAGTTGATCGAGCCATCAGATCAGTCGGTTGACTTCTTTACTGCAGATGAAGGTTTGATGTTTATAAGGAGCTCGCTAGACTTGAAAAACAAATGGAATGAACTTACTATGTCAAGAGTGAAAGCGATGTGTACATCTACTGAATTTTCTGTTTCCATCAAACAGAAGAGTTTTGTCCATATGCTAACTGAAGTGCTGGCGAGCAGTGCTGGTGTTAGGCTGGGAAAACTGGATGAGGCTATCAGAGTTATTGAATTAGGGGCTAGCACCTCAAACAGATCAATATCAGAAGACCAAAGTAATGTGCTTTTCTGGTCTCACAGTAAGGCTTCAGATTCAGTTCAAAAGCAACTTGAAAATATGGACTTATGGTTGGTTGACTCAGATTCGTCTTGTAGTGCTGTTGTTTGTCACCAAAAGCAGAAGTAGCCAGGTTGTTTTGGCACATTACTTTTGCTTCCCTGAGAAAAAACTTGGTGCCATCATAGGGGGATCCATGGTAACCGGCTAAGTGGCACTTATATACTTTCCAAAATCATATGATGACATATCTTTGGATGCATGAGGTGGATCAGCCATGTTTTGATCTTTGTAGATTATGCGATGAAGCTGTTCGATCAAATGTCTGTTTCTGATTACAGTTGGCTATGCCACCGCAGATAACCATTTTGGAGTTCTGCTTCTACCATGAATTTTGTGCTGAACACAGCTATAGTTTTGAGGTTCTGAATACTTGGATCCTTTTTTTGGTTTGGTGACGGCTAACAAAGTCTTCAGTTAGCTAACCTGCTAATTCAACTCACAGGAGCAGTTTTGAACATTATATCCTGCTACGTACCATGTTGATAGCGATGCCCCAACTACAATCCCTGCAGACACTCAAACTGGTATGGTTCCTTTTTGTTCAAAGTACAAAGTACTCATTGGTCTGTACTCTAATTCTGTAGCAAAGCAGTGTTGTCTGTATTAAAAGCTGTTTAATCATGAGCATCTGGCACGAGAAAATCTTCCAGATAATATGCATAGCTAACTAGCATGTGTGGTCTTCGTTTTCGTCTGTGACTAGAGTTTTCCTACATTACTTTTTTCTTCCTCAAAATGTGAGTTTTAACATCATGTTCTTTGTTTGGTTGCAACCGGATCGCAGCAGCACCTGTCGTCCTCTCTATGGGACAGATGTAGAAAGTGTGTATCTGAAGAAAAATCCGGCAGATGCGGTTGGTGCGTGCGCATTTTCACTGGCAGAAGCAACGTCTTCAGGATAAAGAGAGAAAAGGAAAACCCAGCTGGAAAGTGGTTCGTCAATTTTGACAGATCGTTTCTAGAACCTAGAGACAATTATGCAGCAGCAACTAGCAAGTGTGTGCCGAAGAGATTTCCCAACCAGAGTTGACGCTCATGTTTTCTTAGCAGCGCGATTTCCTCCCACCTGAACAAGGTGTGTGGCATCATCTGTCGCTGATAAGCCGTAGCTGAAAGTACTGTTAGCTGATTTGGTGTGAAAGAAAAGTATTGTTCGTTGGCTGAAAAAGTACGGCTTACCAGCCAAATAAGCCCGAACGAATAGGTCGTTGGAACGCAAGCAAGGATGTACTAGCTGCGACAGAACGGTCGGCCGGAAAATGACATGCGGGTTGTCCCGGATGTGCCGTCGCCGTTGCACCTTCGCATATGACGACGGGACAATGTGCATCGTTTCAGGTTGGGATGTGAGCGTTGTGAGCGTGATATCTGCTCTGCAGGCCTGGGCTGCCTGCCATTGTCCCGTGAAGGAGAAGGACGGGGCCTGGAGTTGCAGGCAGCAGTTCAATCATGTTGTTAAGTGGTCAATCCTTGAATAAGATCATGTTCGGTAGCAAGTCTCAGTCTCGCCACACACGATTAGCAAGCAGGCTCTACTGCGCTGGGGACATGCGCTTCGCCCACCCAGCGCATTCGGATCCCAGGTCTCCATTGGAGCGTTGCTGAGATAGGTGTCCTCAGGGACTGTTTGACAGATTATTAGGACCATTAAGAACCAACCGACGATGCTTTCTGATGCTTGATCTTATACATTAATTAAATGCTAAAGTGCCCGCCCTTATGCAACGCCGGCATCACTAATCGGTGCCATACATTGCACTGAACCCTTACTTTCTCCATCTCCACTGCATTTGGCCGAAGCAGAACCCTTTGGGAACAACTTGTGACACATTTTCTTTTCTCCACTCCAACGAGGAAAAAAAAGAAGATGAGGTTTCGGCGTCACCCCGTGAAAGAGGACAAGGCAACTAATTAGGTGCACCAAACGATGTGATCAGCAGGCGAGAACGTCTCCGTAGTATTAGTAACCACCCCACCACTCACCAGGCCACCACCTTCTTTAGATTAGATCAGGATGGAGATGCGGTGCGCCTGCGCTGTCGTCCAGGCACAGAGGAGACGGGGAGGACGGGAATCGGCTGCGGCTGGTCCTTGGACTGTTGTCGCACACCACACAGCCACGGGTGCAGGTGTACAACCGAGCACCCATGTGCCGTGTGATGTGCCTGCGGTTGGAACGCCTGCCTATCATTCATCCGATTCCGATCCCATCTCTAGCGCCAGATGTGTACGAGCTCAGCCTGGAATCTGGATCAACACCGTCGTCGAAAACCGGCGCAGAATCGCACTGGGCGACTCTTGCTCGTGCACGGTGACTACCGATTGCATTCCTCGCTACCAGTACACTGGTTGAAACGCACCGCTGTTGGTCTATCAAGTGGTGGGGCATCCAAGGAGTCGGTGACGAAATATCAAAGCTACTGTTTCGTCGGCGGGCAGCGGCAGGCTGCGCCTTTCCTTTTTGGCTGTCCAGTCAGAACAGAGATGGCAACGCCAACGCGATGCAGGTTGGTGAATCGACCCTGTCAGGCCGAAGCACGCATGCCGCATTGAGCGATGCCTTTGGAACTTTGGTTTCTTGGTTGATCTTTCCGGCCTTTCCTCAAGCCAAGGCGGCTGGCACTGTTCCTCGGGCGGATGGGCGTGCCACCATACGGCGGTTTGCGTTGCGTTACGTTACCGACCGCAGCGCCTGGACGTACTGTACGTGATGGCCTTGCCGTTTTGCCATTCCATGCCAATGCCATGATTACCGTATCACATGCGCCGATGCGTGGCAGGGGTGCACGACGCTCCGCTCCTGGTTCTGCGCCAACGGAGTGGGGCTGGCTTTCTATGCGCTTTGGCAGTACCTAGCCACACAGCACACGCTTACTCGCGCGGTCCCAAAATAATTATCGCTCTCGCTTTCCGAAAAATAACTTTAACTAATTTTATATAAAAAATATTAATATTTATGGTACATGATTAATATCATTAGATAGATCGTTGAATTTATTTTTATAATAAATTTATCTAATGATATAAATATTACACGTATTTTCTATAAATTTAGTTAAACTTATGACACAAACCTAAAACGACAGTTAGTTTAGAACGGAGGAAGTACCGATCAATGTCTGTCGAGGTCTCGAGGACTAGAAACCAAACCCCACCAGGTTTTTTTTTCCCCACATGATTTACTGCCGTGCCGTCCCAATGGTCCCATACACATCCACTGCTCGACGCAACGACACTGCACTGCATTGCCATACCCCTACCGCTACCGGCGGGCCGCCGTGCGCGACAAGCAGACGCCATGATGAGCATTCATTCACAGCGGAACATGGGAAGTGGTACGATATACAGTAGTATATACCAACAGAAAACGCATCAACGCTTAGCACGGTACACCGAGGAGGAAAAGGAAAGGAAGTAGCAGCCGCACGGCGCCAACCGGGGCACTGTGGCTGCGCCCGCCAGCCCTTGGTGTGCTGTTTCTTCTGCGCCCGCGCATGTGACCCGCTCGTGGACTGGATTGGCGCTGCTCATCATTGGGGGAACCATTTTTCACCTCCCTCTCGTTACTCGAAGTCAGTCTCGCTGGTGTTGCCACATGCGCGCAGAACAGAAAGATCGCAAGCAGGCCTTGATCGGGGCAGAGGAGCTGGAGATGCGCGATGGACTCAACAGCACGCAAAGGCGCGCATCCACCCCACCCTATAATAGACCAGTTAAAATAAATCTAACATAACAAATGTCCGCTCCACAGTCATGACCTATGCTACATCTACACCCATAAATGCACCCAAAAAATATAACACCATCAAAACGGATGCACCAGATTATCTCTTAGCCATTCTCTCTCGTTACTCATCCAAATCCGACGGCTCATGTTTAGTGTGTTTGCCCTCCATTGCCCTCCCGTGGACCTCCCACGCGCATGCGCCTGCTGGTTAGGCGCCCAGCCTCCCACGCCCACGGTTCGATCCTCAGCTTCTTTTTTTCGGTCCATTTTTCGCTCGAGCAACTGCGTAAGGCGTAACTCCTCTTCCAGATCAGTATCGGGACACCACAAGTGGAGGCCGCCGCTGGCGGCGTGGCGGCGATTGCTACTACTGTGGCGTTCCGGCCGAGGCCGAGGCGGGGCGATGCCTTCGCGGCCCTGGAGGACGCGGGCTCTGCCACGCGCGGGCGCCAGGCCGCGGGAGCCACCGGCGGCAGTGGCTTCAGCATCCGCGGGTCGAGGAGCCTGAGCCGGTTCCTGCCGCCATCGCTCTCTCCGCCTTGAGGGCATCCGTCCCTCTCCAACTCGTGTGCAGGGCCCTCTCCAAATCATAGACACTGCTCTCAGGATCCCATCAATTGCACCCTCTGCCGTCACTGCTACTGCCAACATGGCGAGGCAAGGGGAGCCCTCAGCCTCCACTTCCGATCTGTAAGATATCGCTGCCTCTCTCTCCCTCCTCTCTGGCCGATCCGATTTGGTGGAGCCCTAGGGTTTGGCTGCCCTGATCTGCGTTGTTTGGTTTTGGTGCTCCAGTGGTGGATTTGTTTGGAGCCCCCATACTTTCGACAATTGCGGTATTTTCATTTTTCTCATTTGTTTGAAGCCAAATTAAAAGCCTATTACTTAGCTGAATTATAGATTTGACTGACATAATATAAATCTCAAAGGACTAAACCTTTGTGCATTGGAATTGGAAATAGGCATTTGGAACTGATATAATAAATCTCACTGAGATTGTTTTCTGGTGATGGCGTGTGCAGGAAAGAAAAGGACTACCTGACGGACGTCCTAGACAAGAAGGAGTGAGAGGCGACAACTCCATCTTCCCACTGGAGCGACTGACACCATGGAAAAGCTGGAGCTCTTCTACAACGACAATGTGCTCCTCAAGGCTCCTCAAGGTGGAGAAGATATGCTTTCAAAACCTGAAGTTAGTTGCTAGCTTTGGATTACAGCTATTCCAACAACCTTATATGCAGTGATTAACAATTCTTTTTACCTATATAAATATTCACCGCATCTTTGTCCATTTTTGAGTGTTTTCCCTCTTAATTAATTGGTACTTGCTGGCTGATAC